TTTTCTAAGTTGATTTTCTTGTTCAGTGGAAATGCACATTTCTCTCTTAACGCTTTCCTGCCTGCAGCGTTCAGGGCTTGAAAACCTAACTTCCTCCAAGCAGGAGGGAGAAGACATTTCTTTGCCAGGATAGCCAGCCCTCGGCCCCCAACGCTGCAGCTCAGGATGGATGGATGGTTTCCTCAAATTCGAAATTCAACACGCTCGGAAATTCCAGAAAAGACAGAATTTTTAGAAAACCCTAACGCCAACTTTCGTTGGTCTGATTTTGTTCTCACCAAGATTTCATGACAAGCGAAGCAAATCACATAAGGAGCCAACTCAAAACCAAACCAGACAAACATCTTAACCATTTGAGATGGAGATATGTTCTGGGACTTGGTTTTCCAAACCAGGGGGCACCGTCAGAGTTGAAAGATCCCTTTAAGTGAAAGCCTAGCCTGTCTCTCCGCCCTGCCCCCCACTTGCATGATGCCCTCTGATCTTTGTCTCTTTGGCTCCCTGCTTTATCACCAGCAAGTAAATATTTATTGAACAGACCAATAAATGAAGGAGCTGTGGGCACATTACTATATAATAATTCTGCCAAGAAGGGAGTCATCAGCCCCATCATGCAGACGAAGGGTTTGAGTCCCAAAGAATTTAAAACCATAATGACATTAATAACAATAATAGTAGCAGCTAACGTTTTTTATTCTATTTTTATTGATATAATATTGGCATGCAACACTGTATATGACCCAGAAGTACAGGGTCGCACGTCTTCCATGTATGTGGCCACCCTCCACCCACCCCCAAGGCACCCGAAGTCCTCCGCCGGCCTCCACTGGCCCTCCTCCTGGGCTCCCTACCCCTGGCCCCTCTCCCCCTCTGAAATAGCTGACATTTTCACTTTTCATTGACGCATACTACACACTTAGAAAAGTGTGCCTGTCTTAAGTGCACATCTCCCTGACCTTCGTCAACTGAGCCCCTGGATAACCAGCACCAGGTCCACCAGATCCAGCACCAGATCCAGAACTAAAACATCTGGAGAGAAGAAGATTGAACAGGCCTAGCTTCTCGGTGTGGTGTGTGGGCCTATTCTCATCTACAACAAAAGGGCAAAACCCCTTGAGCCACAACCTCTCAAAGCCACTATCCTGACCTCTACATCGCCGATTGGTTTAACCCTAACCCTTGAGATTTCTGGAAAGGGAGCCATGCAGCAGGTCTCCCTTGGGGCCTGCCTCCTTCCCCGCATCACATTGTTGAGTCATTCACAGGCTGGCATGCAGTTGACCATCATTCCTGTCTCAGTTAAGAGCAGCTAATTTTTAATGAGCAATTACTATGTGCCCTGTGAGCTCATTTAATCTTTCCAATCCCCTGAGATGAAGCATTATGGTAGGGGATTTTGGGGAGCCCCATCACGAATGGAGAACTGAATTTAGAACTTCATGACCCCCTAACTCCTGCTGATAGAGGAACTTTTTGCCTGCAGGGCTTGAGGTTGTCACTCAACAGGGTCAGTGGCTGTGCCGGGCAGGGGTAGGTGGAGAGCGTTTTGCTCCAGCGCTGCGCTATGCTTGGTCTCTTCTGGGTTCATGTTTCTCCGGCTTCGCTCACTGCAGGCTCTCAGCTTCTCCCTCCTGCTGGTGCCACTGTGCCGCCCTCGGTTCTTTACTTCCAGCCCACTAGGACCAGAGGCCAGAAATAGTGGGGCTATTAGAATTGTAAGATGTGAGAAAACGTCCATGATGAGGGCTGGCTAGTCCCTAGTTTATGGATGAGGACAACTGTGATAGCGGCTCTTCTGTTCCTGGGTCTAGATCGGTGATGTTTCTAGATAAGTCAGTGCCCCTGGGGTCAGTGTTTTCCCTCTTGGCTGCTTTGCTTTGGGGACTGAAAGCTCCCTCCTTGTAGTATTTCCACAGTCAATACCTGATAAGTCTGCTCAGACATTTGTCGTCCTGAAACCCTGCCTGTCAGAGGAGCCAGGAGGAACACAACAGCCTTCGGCAGCTCTCTGGTTGGAGGCAAAAGGAGCACTGGGGTGACAGAGAGAGGGACTGGTTTCTGGCCCCAGAGCAAAGTTAGTGTCCCGTAATATGGGTGCCCTGACTATTCCACAGGGGTCAGCTCCTACCCCCATGGCCCGAGTTCCAAGTGCACTTACCTGATCCTGAGCCTGAGCCTGTGCTAGGTGTTAGGGACATGAACACAGGCAGATGGGCCCACTCAGCCTCCCTCCCCACCCGCAAAAGCCTCCTGAGCCCGTTTACAACTGTCCTGCTGGCCCAGGAGGCAGAGTGACCCTGTTCCAGTTCCCCACCCAGCCAACCCATCCGTCCCTCCACCTCCACGGGGTCATATATATACACATTTGTACATACATATATACATATATACACACACACATACACATGTACATATATATTATACATACACACACACACATATATATGCTTTGTTTTGTTAATGAAAAACTGAACCGTTGCTTCACCCTTCTCACCCCCTTGGAAAAAGCCAACTTTGCATTTATAACCAGCTTCATTTCCACGTCCCTGACTTATGTCTGCTCTCCTAATCCTCTTCTAAGCCAGTTTTTAACATCTTACTGTTTTAACCCATCCTTAATTAAAAGGTTTAAAAAAAAATCCTTGACACAAATTCAAAAAAAATAAATAATCTATCCCCTTGGGATCTCAGCACGAGAGTGTGAGGTTTTCCTCAGGTTCACTCTCCCTTAAATCCAGGCCCTGATGCCAGAGAGATGAACACGGACAACCATTTTGCTTGTTTCCTAATATTTTTCGCAGAGGCCCTGGCGGCTGGGCTGTGAGAAGCCACTCCCCCTAGGGCCCACTGCATACATTTGGCAACTGTGTCCCTTTAATGGATGCACACGTGTCCATTGTGAGTACAAACATAATGGTTTCCATGGAGATGCGGTCACAATGACTAATTAGACAAAGGAGAGTATTTTTCAAAGCCTTGAAAGACATCATGGATGTAATAAACCAACATCATCTTATTCAATTGACGTATCCCTTCTCATTTCTCCCTAGAAACATCAATAAATGGTCCCCGATGCCTTGAACTTATAATGGAGTTCGAGTCTCTACCTTCCGGGTCAGAGGCCTCCAGATTCTCAACTGCAGGGTTCTGCTCCTGGCACACACTCCAAAAGTAGCCACAGGGACCCTCCCCCACCATCAGCAACTCCAGACAGGCCTCCCACTCTGGCCTGCCTGCTTGTTCTCATAGAGGCCACCAGGGAGACCAGGATGCTCCTGGCTTTGGGAACCTTGTCCTGCCCCCTTATCATGCCAGCCCCAGGCATCAGCTACCCCACAGGGTGTGCCTCACCATGATCCATCCTTCAGAATGCTGGATGTCACTTTTCATGACATCTAAAGAGAAGTTATCCTTCTCCCCAATGAGGGGTGACCCTAACATAATCTACAGACAAAATCTCAGAAGGGAGGAAAAGAATGACCCCAGATATTTCTCCCAAAGCCGATCCACCAGTCTGGGTAAACTTTTCCAATCTCCCACTCCTCATCCCTCCATAACCCCAGGTTAAAGTGAAAATGTTTAAAACACAAACTGCCCAGACCTCAAACTATGGCTAGGGAAGGATAACAAACCTGTCGTATGTTGAGAAATGAGCCCAAGAGTTATATTCTAGAACAGAGAAAAGAATACCTGGGTAGAAATATCTGAGCACAAGCTCAGAAGCAGTGGCAACTATGCAAACATACTCCGAGCAACACTACAATAAAAATGCAAAGAACCAAGTCTAGAAGGAAATATAACAGGAAAGCCAGAGGAAATTTTCACTTAAGTGTGTTCATTATGAAACTATATAAAAAGAACACAAATTAAGTAAAGAAAAAAAACTCAGAGGTGAGATGAATTAACAATAGAATTGTTGGGGGAAAGGATGACCTGAGCTAAATCCACACAGGCTTTGTGGACTCCACCCCCACTCCATATCAAAGCCATCAAGACACTGGGAACTACAAAGGGAGGGTTGCTGGGACCTGAGGGCGGAGTTAAGCAGTCAGGTTTGGTATAAAACCAGACATGTAGGGGCCTCCCCTGGTGGCACAGCAGTTGAGCGCTGAGCTGCAAAGCTGCCAGCAGCCTCTGCAGCGCCGTTCAATCCCCGGCCGCTGGCAAGGGTCCCACATGGCACGCAGACCTCTCCTGCCGTGCCCGCTGCTCCCCTCAGCAGTGTCTTTCATCAGTCTGCCTGTTCTGTTCCCCGCTCTGGCTCTGGTGACTTCTCTCATCCTCCCGCACTTCTGACTATACCCAGTGCTTGTATAAATAAAGAAATAAATCTTTAAAAAAAATAAAATAAAACCAGACACATGGGCCTTGAGGATCTCTTGGCTTCACAGCTCTTGGCTCTCTGCCAGCTCTCAGCATGCCATTAGGATTCCAGGTCGACGGAGACAGGTAGGACGCATTTAAGATTTTATTTCCCTCTTTTCTCCCTGAGTTGTACATTTCTTCATTTCCCCTTCCCTTATAAACAAACCTTTTATTAACCTTTGTGTGTGCCTACAGTTGAGTATTAATAAGTCCCTTTTAAGCATGCGGGTGAGGACCCACAGTCAGGCAACCCGTTTTATATCGGGGTTGCCCTGTAACAGTTTGGCACCCAACATGGTTTCCAAGTTATACCCATGGCTGACCAGCCCAAAGTAACTTTCCTTGCATTGGTCACCATAAGCGCACTAGGTCTGCAGGACTCGCAGTGTAATCTTTGTCCCAAGTCTTGACATGACAAAAGGAGACCTACAGAAAGAAAATTGTGACCAAAACATTACAGAATTTGCAGATTACTTAGGAATGTCAAAGAACAGAAATGCTGAAAATGGCATGGTGAATTAGAGAAATACAGAGGCTGTAAGAAAGACAATGAAAGGAAATCAATCAGAAAAAAAAAAGGTATTCAAAAACACAAGAAAATCTCCCTCGAACAATAAAATAAGCTGATTCTGAAGATTAGAAAATGATAAACAAACATGATGATTTGGTGTTCACGCGGCTGTGTGAGATGTACCTCTCTTAAACCTTGTTACAACATTGGCATATTACCCTTCTGATGTGAAAGAAAAAAAAAAGAAAATGATAAACAATGCAAATCACCAACACATATCCCAATTGAGTTCTTCAGGTTCATGGATAAAGAATAAATTTTTGAGACAGTTGGCTAATTGTGCTAGATCACCACAGTAAATGCCTTTACTATCTCCAAAATCCCACTAAATTGGCACTAAAGGAATATTTTTAAAGGGATAAATTCTCAAGATCAAATGTAACAGTAGAAGAAACGACAGCAGAGAAGACATGTCATCAAGATTTTGAAGATAAAAAATGAGTAGATGAGGGTAATTGACCCAGATAAAGAGAAACTGAGACCTACACACACCTATAGAACCTGCAAAGAAAAAAGCAATCCGAACCACAGAACTCTGGGTCGACCAGAGTCCCTGAAGTCCCTGAAGGCCACTGAAAATAGAAGAGACCGAGTCTGTTAGCTGAGCTTTTAGAATTCCAGGCCTCTTTCCTGACCCTGCAAAGCCAGATGATGGTTCCTCCCACCCAGTAGAAGGTCAGCAGTTTGCTCCCAACCTCCCTGGAAAGGTTGAGTCCAAGGTCCCAAAATGAACATCAATATCAACTAAGAGTGAGTATGAGTTGCTGTGATAAAAATGACAGAATGAAATGTAGATGTGCATGGAACAGTAGGAGACAGAAGTCCTTTCACTACTTAGCCCCAGAACAGAGTAGAGCCCTGATACAAAAGAACAAAAGACCCCTCTAGCCCAAGTGGAAACACTCAGAAGGATAGACATTTAGGGCCATCCAATGCCCAACTTGATCCCAACTCCTTTACCCCAAAGTAAAGCCCACTAGTTAATAAGCACCTACCTCCCAACCTCACCCAGACCTTCCAGTGAGCCTTTCAGTGCCACACTCTTAAATGTGAGCAGCCAGCCAGGGATCACTAGATATTTAGAGGAAATTTGAAATGCAAAAGAGAAAGAACAAAACAAACAAAACACCCAATAAAGCAGAGGGATGAGAAGAGGAAATGTATGAATGTACAAGCAAGGCAGTAGAGGATTTGTAAACAGGGAAAAAAGAAAGCTATCACAATGGGCCACTTGATTTAGAAATCCAGAATAAGACTAAAAGAAACAGCAAAAGGAGTAGGAAGAGGTTGCCAAGTATGCAGACAGGTGGGTGGGAGGGAGTTGGTTTTCCTTATAAGCCTGGGAGTACATTTTGACTTTTTAAACTATGTACACTTATACTTTCTAAAAATAGAAATGAAGTGTTTCTAGAAAAAGAAAAATGACATTTGAGGACTGAAACTGTAGGCACGCTGGCAGAAACACAAATCATCTACAAATCAGGAAAAGCATCAAACTGGACTGAGATTTCCACAGCAACTGTCAAAGCCAGAAGGTCTTGGGGAAATGGTGCTATCATTTAAACCCTGTGAACCAAGGTCATTCTATCCTGCAAAACTGTGGTTCAAGTAGAAAGGCAGCAGGCAGACATCTGCAAATGTAAACTAACTTGGAGCATACCACATCTATGAATCTCTCTTGGGAGACCTACTTGTTAATAAAAATCAGCAAATAAAGAAATAAATTAAAAAGATCTCAGGGGGCCTCCCCGGTGGCGCAGCAGTTGAGCGCTGGGTTGCGAAGCTGCCTGCAGCCTCTGCAGCGCCGGTTCGATCCCCGGCTGCTCCCCGGCCACCAGCGGAGGGTCCCACATGGCGCGCAGACCTCTCCTGCCGCCCGCTGCTCCCCTCAGCAGTGTACTTCGGTCCTTCTGCCTGCTCTGCTCCCCGCTCTGGCTCTGGTGAATTCTCTCACCCTCCCGCGCTTCTGACTGTACCCAGTGCATGTATAAACAAAAAACAAACAAACAAATAAATAAACGAAAAACATGCCTCTATTAAAAAAAAAAAAAAAAAAAAAGATCTCAGGGATGGGCCTCCCCTGGTGGCGCAGTGGTTGAGCACTGGGCTTCAAAGCTGCCCACAGCCTCTGCAGCACCAGTTCAATCCCTGGACACCCACGAGGGTCCCACATGGTGCGCGGACCTCTCCTGCCACGCCTGCTGCTCCCCTCAGCAGTGTACTTCCATCAGTCTGTCTGTTCTGCTCCCCGCTCTGGCTCTAGTGAGTTCTCTCACCCTCCTGCACTTCTGACTGTACTCAGTGCTTGTATAAATAAATAATAAATCTTTTTTTTAAAAAAAAAGATCTCAGGGATGAAGACATCATGGCAAAAGACTGAGCATGAGTAATGAATTCATCTGAAATTAGAATTTATATAAAAAAATCTTCAGATTGTTGTTTCACATAAATAAAAATGTTTTAAATCTTAACAATATAAAAATAATAATGGAGAGGAAAAGGAAATGGGGGAGAATGGGGACAGCTAATGGCCTTTTCTTTTTAACAAGTTCACACATACCACCTAACATGTGAGTATGTCTTTTTAAAATGCATGATTCTGAAGGAAATGCAAATTAAATCCACAATCATATACTACTACATATCTATTAGGGTGACTAAACTTTTTCAATGACAATGCCAAGTGCTGACAAGGAAACAGTACCTCATGAGTCCTTACACTTTGCTGATGGAGATACCACCACCACTACAGTTTGAAAGTTTCTCATAAATTTGGACACTCACTCACCACAAGATCCAACAATCCCAAACCTAGGAATTTACCCAAGACAAATGAAAGTTTACATCCACAGAAAAATCCTTAATTGTTTGGTACAGTGTTATTCATAATTACCCCAAACAAGAAACAACTCAAATGCCCTTCATTTTGGGAAATAAACAAACTGTGCTCTACCTATATAAGGCACTTGGCAAGAAAAAGTTACATAACCCACAATGTGGTTAATTCAAGTGTACTATGTTAAGTGAGAGAACCAAAGTTCAAAGGCTATCCTCTCTCTGAATTCTGTGATTTTCTGGAACAGGCAAAACTACATGTACAGAAAACAGATCAGGAGCTGCCAAGTTCCAGGTGTGGAAGGAGGGTTTGACAACAAAGGGGCAGGTAGAGCGAGAACTTGGGGAGGGTGGGACAGTCAACCTCTTGACTGATTGTGGGGTGATCACGTGCCTCTGCATTTGTCATAACTTATAGAACTCACTGTAGACTACTCTGTGTGAAATAGACTTGGAAAAGTTAGTCAACAATTTTTCTAGAGCAAGCCCAAGTCTTTTAATTTAAGACAATTTTATGTTGTTCTCAAAAAGTCCATAGTGTGATTAAGTATTTCATTGAAAATATCATTATTAATTATGCTCATGATAAAATATATATTTTTAAAAACCATATGACTCCATCTACTGGTTTTCCTAATTGCTTGCTAACCTTGGAGGTATCTTTTAGGAACTAGTTCCATTGGTAATGATGTAATATTCATGTGAAGTTTAAAAATTTCTTGGTTTCAGTGATTTCCTTTTCTTCTGTTAATGTCAGGTACAATTGGAGTGAATGATTTTTACTTTCAAAAGTATCCCATTTCACAAAAGTAGTCCTGGCTACCTCTCTCTCTAGAAACTCCACATAGAAACATAATTTGAGTGATGGCTTTTTGGAATATGGGGTGGGATCTTTTTGTTTTTACTTTTTTCTGTATTTTCTTACATTTTTATGCATATACACTATTTTTTTTAAGATTTATTTATTTATACAATCACTGGGCACAGTCAGAAGCGCAGGAGGGTGAGAGAATTCACCAGAGCCAGAGTGGGGAACAGAATAGGCAGATGGACGAAATACACTGCTGAGGGGAGCAGCAGGCAGCAGGAAAGGTCTGCGCGCCATGTGGGACCCTCGCCGGCGGCCAGGGATCAAACCGGTGCTGCAGAGGCTGTGAGCAGCTTCGCAACCCAGTGTTCAACCGCTGTACCACCAGGGAGGCCCCATATACACTGTTTTTATGGATACAGCAAGTCTTATAATCCTAGCCTCTCTCTGGCACGCATGTCACTCTCCAGGGGTGTGGAAGTCCCACCATCTTTCTGGATGGTACATTCTTTTCTTGCTCATTCCTATATCCCATGGAGTGTGTGGTCCCCACGACAGCTCCCATACAGCTGGAATAAAGGAAACACCTAACAGGGAGGCCAGAGAAGTTCATCATGAATTTGGAAAGGGAAAATTATCTCAGGGTTCTCAGACCTGACCTCAGGGGATATGGCTTCCCTTCATCTACCTGGGCGACGAGGTGAAAAACTTAGCTAACAAGAGTCCAGGAGACTAAACCCAACCATCTGATGCCCCAACATCTGGAGATCTGTCTCTCCTGGTGAGACAGAGCCTGTGACAGAGACCCAGAGGTGGGGTCCTAGCACATGAGAACCACCTGGAGGACATCCTCCGACACTGTGACGTGAGGTCATCTGTCATGCCCTTGAGGAGAGGATTCAAATCCTGTGCACAGCAAAGCTCAATGTAGTAGGTATGGAAGGAGAACCTAGGCCAGCAAGGGAGCTATGCCAGATACGCAGCGCATCTTAACAGGGCTGTGCTGCTCTCAGGCTGTGGGTGAACCCAGGCTACTCCTGAAAAGTGATGAAAGTTTGCCTTCTGTGAGAAATGGCCCTGAAAATAAATGCAACTGCTTGTGTTGGTAATAAATGGGAAGAAAACGGGGCGGCATCAAAGAAAGTGATAGAGAGGAGAGCTCTGTACTAAAAAAGAAGATCAAATTATACTGTAGCTCAAATCTCCCATGTCAATGAATTCAATACATACTCAGTTTGGAAATCAGAAAATGTGAATCACAAATCTCAGCCAGAGTTCCCATCCTGAGCACAAATGCTCATCAAATGAAGGCTCTGTTGATTTCTGAATTCAGTCCTTCATTCATTCAATGTTACTGATGTCCTACTATGCACCAGGCACTGGCCTTGAACCTGAGGATGGAAGAATGAGCAGAACAAAGTCCCTGCTTTCGTGGAGCAAGTCTAGTGGAGCAAAGCAGTAAATATATTTATTCTGTGTCAGGTGGAAGGAAAATATGATGAAAAGGTGAGCGGGGCAGAGACAG